TGAAGAATTATGGACGTCCCTGAAGTTCTGCAAGTTTCTAAGAAGATCTACGAGATGCCCTGCTAATTTCTCTAAAGCATTGCAAATTTCCCTGAAGTTGCAAGTTTTATTTTTCCTAAAGTTCTGCAAATTTCTCTGAAGATTTTTGGACTTCCCTGAAGTTCTTCAAAATTCTTTAAAGATTCATAAACTACTTCTGTTTATTTTTATTTTTTTAAGTTTTACGAAATTCCCTGAAGTTTTCATATATTTCTAAAGATTTACGGACTTCCCTGGGGTTCTACAAAATTCTCTGACTTTCCTGAAATTCTTCAAATTTCTCAGAAGATCTACGAACTTACTTGCGAACTTCTCTGAAGTTCTACGAACTTGCATATGAACTTTCCAAAAGTTCTTCATACTTTCCTACAAAATTCTCTGACTTTCCTGAAATTCTTCAAATTTCTCAAAAGGTCTACGGACTTCAGTGCAGTTCTTTTAATTTTGCTAAAGATTCACGGACTTCCCAAATGTTCATAAAATTTCTCTGCAAACTTTTCTAAAGTTCTATGAAATCCCTAATAAAATTTGTATGGTTATTTTCCTTAACAACGTGTTTAGGGTATCATCCCAACCATTTGTGGAATAGTTCAATAATTATGGGTTATGGTTCGGGAATGGTATTTTGCATTAGGGCATCCCTGAAGATCTGTTAGCTTCGCTGAACTGCCCATAAAAGCATAAGAGTCCCATATGGATTTTTTTTTTTATCAGAAATGAGTTATCTATAAGAATCCATTGTAAACTATCTGTATTTACACTGTGCACTAAAAGTCACATGTTTTGTTAAGAGAATATGGTAAAAAAAATACCAAAACTTGGTTGTCCCATTCACTAGAGTCTAGGGATAGATACATTTTCAACAGCGTTTTTCTCGGCTTGCTGTTTTTCCGGATGGGACTGATATGCTTTTATGGGCAGTTAAGTTCTGCAAATTTCTCTCGAGATACAGACTTCCCTGAAGTTCGTCAAATTTATTTGAAGATCTTCGAGCCTCCCTATGGCCTTCTCTTAAGTTCTGCTAATTTATATGAACTTTCTTGACGTTCATCAATTTTATCTGAAGATCTGAGAATTTCTTAAAATTTATCTGGATATATATAAATTCCCTGCACATTCATTTTAGATTACCGGAGTCGTTGAAGTTTACTGGGTTTTTGATTTGCGGGACACCCAGTAATCAAATCATCAACAATTTGCATTACCTTCATTCATTACATGGTTCAGTAATTTGATAAACAAATTTTCGGTAAAAGACAACTGACGAAAGTAGTAAACCCGACTTTATCATATAATTGACCTTCCGGAACACACGATTTGTACAGTGAAACTGTACATGCAGTTATTTGGTTTGTTTTTATTTCGTTTTAAGTTTGGATACAAATCAATTAAATGAATACGCAGCAACTGGATGCCTACTGGATGCTCTTCATGTGAGGCGTGCTGTGTTCTACATACGTGTTTTCATCCAAACTTGACGCACTATTCAGAGGCAGACCATGACGAACCGGATGCGGCTACTGAAAAAAATTCTGAAACACATTCTTCTGAAATTCTGGTCAAATCTAAGTGTAATTTTCCAAATGGAACACAACCTTAGTATTTTTTTATTTGTTCAATCGGTAGATAAAATATGTACCGAGAACTTATTGGAGGGATTCATGGCTAATTGATATCATCTCGATCAACTATAAAATGTTGCATAACATTGATGCAAAATTGTGCACTCCGTTTTTGTTTGTGCATTTATCTTTAGCATTTTGAAGTTGAATTGCTGTTGATCACATTACCACATAAAAATTTCAAGAGTACAGATATCAGCTCTCACAAAACTTATAACAACCCTAATAAAAAATAACCATAAACGAACGATAACCCAAATCATTGAACTATTCCATAAATGGTTTGGATGATACCCAGAACACGTCGTTAAGCAAATTAACCATACAATTTTTATTAGGGAAAGAAACTGGAACTTCACGTTTTTGTTGCAGTCCAGTACACAAGGAGTTTCAATTTCATGAGTGATGTCACAACAGTCCAAGATTTATGTCCTAGAAATCTTGAAGTGATAGGGAATATCAGCCATTGTTGGATGCTTCAATGAATCACCTGAAGAAAGTTTTACTCATATCTGATAGTAATTTAGGAACCAAAAATATGTACTCGCATTTTTATGAGGTCCTGAATTTAACCAAGTTTTACTGAGTAGGAAATCCAAAATATGTACATAGGACCGAAATCATAGGTTATTTCTACTGTATTTTAAATCAATATCTAGAAAACATGCACGAGAATTTCACTACACAGCTTAACGTAGTCTGCGTCAACCATGCGGTCGTGTCTTGTACACAACCCCACTTTTTTTTTCTTTTCGAATAAGATATTACAGCTGCAGACTTTACAAAATGAATTCGGTAATTAAGAGTAACAGTTTAATTAAAACACAGTAAAATTTTGAAGAATACCGTTTTTTCGGTAGTATTTTTTACCGAACTTCTCTGAATTATCGAAAGCAACCAATTTAATTACTTATTGAGTAAATTAAATTGTTGTTTTCAATTCTTTTTGCCATTCATTACAGATTTACAGTTTTTAAATACTGTATATCGGTATTTCATAGTTTTTAACAGAAGTTTCAGTTAAATGAACATTTTACTGTACATCAAGACCAGTAAAAATACTGATCATCAAAATACTGTTTAAGTGTGGACGGACTTCCCTGCAGCTCTGAAAATGTATATGAAGATTCACGAACTTCCCAAAAGTACTTAGAGTTCCTTTGAAAATTAACGGACTTCCCTGAAATTATACAAATTTATACACGAAACGAAAATCAATTATTTTTCCCAAAACATCAGCCTTATATATTCCATAAGACAAACCACATAGGTCCTATAAGAATACATAAAAGGTATGTGTGACCGCTTATATATTTCATTTGACACATGATCTTCATTAACTTTTCGCAAGGCGTCTGCTTATTAGTTGACTTATACATTTTATGAATAATCAGCAATAGATATTTGTTAAAAGGTATAAAGAGATTTCTATCCGTGTATGAAGATCTACGAACTTCTCTGTAACTCTACGAATTTTCATGATGTTCTGCAAATTTTTCTAAAAGTCTACGAAAAAAAACTTCCTTGCGACCTTCTCTAAAACTCTGCATATTTCTCTGAAGTTTAATGATGTTCTCAGAAGCGCTACGAACTTTCAAGATATTCCACACTTTTCGCAGCAGTTCTATTCTTTTTCAAAAGTTTTATGAAATTTCCCAACTTTTCAGAATTTCTACTAATCTTTCATAAGTTCTAGGAATTATACAGAAGTTCTTCGAATTTCCCAGAAGTTAAACGAAATTCTTATTAATTCTTCGATTTTAATGTATTTTCCAGAAGATCTAAGAATTTCCCAGTAACTCAGTAATATAATATATAACAACATAACATATTATGTGTGACACACATCATAATAAAATAAGTTGGTAAGTTACTCTACGAGCAGGAGCACCTAGGTTAAAGCTTGAATGCATGTCTTGCTAATTGCATCTAAAACTGGACTGCCCGAAAAATGCAAAAAGTGTGATAAAGTGCACGTTTCCGTCAAATCGTTTTGGTGTCTCATGAGCTATTATTGCTTGCATCATTAGAAATAAGTGCACCGAAGACACTAAGACGGTTAGACGAAAAATCTCACTTTTAATGAGTGAAAATGCGCATATTTGTCCAGTTTGATGTGAAATACGCAACAAATTGATTGGAATTTGGAGCAAATAAAGAGTTAAAAAACAGCATCAACAAAATGATACTCAGACGATCTTTGTCTTTTCTTCCCCTAACAAGTGTGGCTTTATAAAAAAATATGCGCTTTTCCACGCTGTATTGGTTAAGAAAATAAGTAAAAAGTCGGAATATTTAGTTTATTAATCTCTTTGCTAACATAAGACGTCATCAATGTAGGTAACCAAAAGAAACTTTCTTAATTAAAAATAAAACATTTTATTAAACAGCAACTGAAACTGGATTAGGTTTTAAAGCACTTAAAAAGGAAGTTTATAGGGACTTTCCATAGAAAGTACCTGCTACTTTCCGTAGCATGTTCCAAGAGCTCCCCGTAAGATGATCCTAGAACCTACTCTTGCTAGTTCCTACGGGAAGTTCTTGCAACTTCTTACGGAACATTTTCGCAACTTCCTGCAGCCAAGCTCCAAACCTCGACCGGAATACACTCCAGGTGATTGGGGATATCCTTCTGTTATTGAAGAACTTTTGTTGGTTCAGCATTTAAATACAGGAGATGCTGCCAATTAAAAATGCCTTGAACTTCCCATTCGAAAGGGCAACAAATTCCGGCTGGAAATTTCAAGAGCTTCCTGCAGAAAGTTGCAAGAACTTCCCACAGGACGTTGCATAAACTTCTCTCAGGTTCCTGTTTATAATTTAAAAAAAACCTGTGAATATTCAAAAGATTTGAATACAAATTGTTCTTACCAAAATGAATATCGGAATATAACTTTGCTGCTTGATTATTTACACTCTGCTGCTCATCGATGCTATCCGATCATGAAGTTTGACACTTCGCTCGAGAGCGAAGTGTCAAACTTCGTGCTCGGATGGCAGAGTGTAAATAAACGAGCATAAATTCCACCACAGAGGTGGTCTAACGTCGTCTAACCAGCCATACAAAAAAATGTCTAACGTTAGTCTCACGTTAGACTAACATGTTAGATCGAAAAGAGCTGTAACGTCTAACATAATGTGTCATATCAGTCTAATATTAGACGAACATTAGACTAACGTTAGACCAAATGTTAGTCTAATGGTCTAACGTGTTAGACTAACGTTAGACTCATGTTAGACTAACCTTCCGTGCTGGGATGTTTATTGTGTTACTTATGACTTTATGCAATGTTTGGCTTGAATTTGATAAAAATCTAGGCAGTAGGCAGCACTGCTCACGAAACGGACGGACATTTCTGTGGCGTAGATATAGTTTGTTGAGTCGAGGTCATAGAGCGTTTTTCCGTAATGCTGTAAAATTATAGAAAATCCTGCAAAAATAAAAATCCTTAGTGAAACATTTTTCGGTCGAATTTCAAAATTTCCATACTTTGGTGCGTGTCCTAGAATGGATTCCAAGACCAAAAACACTCAGAAGAAGCTTCAGTTGGCTCTGCGGACGGAATCGCCTGTTAGCGACGATGAAGATCAGCGTAAACGTCAAGAGTCTGTGATGAAAAATAGTGGCTACACCGTGCAGGAGATGATCGGAACCGGAGCGTTTTCCAACGTCATGGTAAATAGTGGAATAATAAGAGATTTCGTGTCTCGTATCAATAAATATATATATTTACCTAAAAGTTTTCTTTTCGTTTCTAGAAAGCATTCAGCAAAACGCATAATCAAACCGTTGCAGTGAAGGTTATTTCCAAGCAGAAAGCTAGCAAAGATGTTCTGACCAAGTTTCTCCCGCGGGAGATCGATTTGGTGACGAAACTTAAACACGTGAATTTGATCCGGTATCACGAATGCATCGAAACCACCCTGAGGTAAGGATTATTTAGACGTTGAACCGGGAAAGAAACTATTACGTTGGCATGTTACGGGGTTGGGAAATTAGCAGTATCCTTTAGCGCCAGGGTGACCCGAGAAAACGGGGAATTTGTTGGGAGAACCGTGAAAAATCTTAATCATAACTTTAGACACATTCTTGCTTTAGAAACAGCACCCCCTCCATACATGCGGTGGGTGGTATTGTCCACGCATCTATTTCTCGACTGTCCTTCAAGCAATGTAGCTGAGATAACTGTAGATATCTGGATTATAGTTGACACCTATCATGTACAAAAAATCAGCGTAATTGGTTGAAGTACAGCAGAGAAATAGCGGTGGGTGTACGATACCACCTAGCGCATAAACAGAAGGGTTACTGTACCTGCTTTTGAAAACAATGAATCAAACGTCAACTTTACGAAACTCTCAAGCGGGTGCCAAAAAGCCGCGTCAATGTTCAGCAAGAATTCATCATCGCCCATCCCAATATTTTGAACTCTCTACAACTCTCTAGTAAGAACGACAAAGAAAAAGTACAAGACTTTCCATGGTCAAACCGAGCCTGTTGGTCATCAAAAGAACCATCAGAAATGTTTCGCTGCGCGAGAATCATGCTCGAAATCTAAATTACCAAATTTCTGATTGTCATCTTAACTCAACTCTAAAGCTGATGGTTAACAGCTTGGACAAACAGCAAGCAATATGCAGCCAGTGCAGCATGGATATATCCATGGATATATGCACTTAAACAGAGACCCTGAGTTCGGTAAAAAAAATACCGTCTTAGATCGGTAATCCTAAAAATTACAGATGTTTCGGTATTTTCTCGCTCTATTGCTGAAAACTGTAAATAAAATTACCGAATTTCGGTGATTTCATTTCAATTCAACGAAAACGGTAAAAAAAATTACCGGCAGATCTGTAAATCAGCTTCATTACTGACTTCGGTGAAATATTTTACTGAAGTTTCGGTAAACAAACCGTTCCATTACCGAGTTCGGTAGTTTTCACAGCGAGAAACGTCAAATTCACCATATCGTGATTTTCGACCTTCTTAAAAAAAAAATGTAAGTGGAAACTTGTGAAAAATAAAAAGTTCAATTATGGAGGCTGTTATGGACCAGCTGCAATACCAAGATGAGCGATTCGTAGATATTTTCCGTAAGTAATGATATTTCGTTATCTAAATAAATACCCATTGTTACAGATGGCCAATGCTGTTGCTTGTTTTTTCATCAATAACCACATAAAAATGAAAGATTTTATACCGGCAAACACAATTTTTGATTGTACATATCAAAAATGTGATGCAAGATAAAAAAACTTCTATTCTTTAAAACGCCATATCATTGAAAAGCATCCACTTGAAAGCTTTGTTCCAGCCGGAAGTACCACGAAGGGAAACGATCCACTCGGGGAAACCCTTTTCATCGGTCATGAAATGCCTACTTAATGCAATGAAGCAAGTTCTACCCGTGAATCAGAGACATCATTGAATGAACTTAACAAAAATATTCATCGGAGTATTTGTATTTAATTTGTATAATTGATAAAACCCGAAAAACACATTGAAACAATATTAAAGCGAATTAAATTTAAGTCGGTAGACTTTTAAAAAAATCGGTATCTTTTTTTTCTTTTTCGGTAATTTTCATTTTCCATATCGACTTCAAAATAACAGTTCTCCGGTAAAATCAATTGCAAATCAAGCTTGTTTTTTCGGTAAACGTTACCGATCGTTCGGTAAATTTGACAGCTAATTTTGCTGATTCAGTTTACAGATTTTTCGGTAATGTTCTCGATTACCGAACACATTACCGACCGTTCAGCTGTTGAGAATTCGGTAAATGAATTACCGAAGTCGGTAATTTTTTCTAAGTGTACACACTTAGATTATTTAATCGAAATCTGTGAAATTTTACCGAAATCTCAACAGCTGAACGTTCGGTAAAAAGTTCGGTGATTTTTCACAGATTTCCTGTAATTTTTCACAGGTATTCGGTGAAAAATTACAGGAAATCTGTGAAAAATCACCGAACTGTTTACCGAACGTTCAGCTGTTGAGATTTCGGTAAAATTTCACAGATTTCAGTGAAATAATCTTAGTGTGTATACAGTGTATACAGTTGGTGATTTTTAGTATGGCGCCGGGTGGAGAAGTACAAGAATATTTTAGTGTGCCGGTTCAAAATGAACAGCTTCGAATGCTAGGGGGCGTCACATAAAAGCGAATTAATCTACGAAAAATTTCGCATCCAAATCCATCTGCATGTCTCGCGCTCCATTTATAACAATTGCCATTGCGATTAGGCCGAAGTAGTTCTCTACCCTATTGCAACAAAATACAAGCAACTTATGCAACGTATCAACTAGAGTCCCATTAAAAAAGGTCAACATTCCAACTCGTGTATTTAGGTGATATAACCACTCTCTGAATGTTTCATCATTTTTTTTACGTAACAGGGGGATTTGGTTGAAATGTTCATATTCAAAAGCGAATATCTCAATAAAGCTAACTGAATTCATGATGCAGTTTGCAGCAAAGTTTTTACTCATTGTTTGAACTACAAGTTTTGAAAATCTGAATAAAATCGAAAATAAGGAAACCTTTTTATGATCGAAAGAGTGTAGGGGTGTCATTTTGGAATGTATTTTATCCAAATTCCCCATACAAAATCAAACTAAATGCGCCAGCTCATCTTACAACCATAGAGCATAGTTTTCTCACCTAAAGGAACAAATATAGAGGTTGGCAGCGTTGGAAAAGATCGCGATATTTCACGAAGTTCACCAAGGGAAAAGTTCGCGAGTCATAGTGAGTTTTGGTGAACTTTTCCAACACTGGAGGTTGGCCCGTGAAAAATTAGAACTTTTATTTTTGTGGGCCGTTATCCGCGGACACCATCTAACCTGGCCAAGTTTGACATCTGGATATAGTTTTTTGCCCATCGACATCCAATAATAACTTATTCTCGACTGTCATCTGTTTCACCTTCATTTATGATATTCCATACTAGCATTATTTTTATGAGGGAACCACTTAAAGCTAAAGCCCTACAGTAAAAGTATGGACGTCTGTCAAAAGTTGTTCCAATCGAACCGTCAAAATGCATCGCTTTGCTCGATTGGAACAGCTTTTTTCAGTTTTGTGGTGACAGTCGTCCATACTTTTACTGTAGGGCTTTACTTAAAGCAGCGCGTCATGGATCATGATTTTTTAAACGTTTGTATTGGACTGTCATCCGGCTGATTTAGGGGTGGCGCAAAATCGTCATGAAATTTCAGTTTTCGGATTGGTTTTTTTTATGCCAAGGCTGTGTTTCATTTGGTGAATTTTCACTTAAATTTAACAAATGGAAATTTTTCAAATAATCCTGCTATTCCGCCAAACTTATTTCTGACCGACAAGGAATCAATTTTGACAAACACCTTCTCGAAAATCGGCCAATCAACAGCAGAGGGATTTTCGAACATTTTAATTTATTGGTAAAGTGCTAGGGGAAGGACAGCTCCAAGTATCAGTATCAATACCGATGGTGGAAATATTAAATTTTTTAATATGTGTGATATTTGCGAATCTTATACTTAGTCTGACAGTTGTTTTTTGTTTGTTTTTGACTATTTTGGTTTTAAGTGTACATTTGACATTCGTTTAATCAAAAATGTATTCCACACGAGAGGCAAGTCATTCCTTTGTGATCTTGCTGGCCACCGCGCCACTAAAATCCACTCATTGTTTTCATAAATTCGGCATTTTTTGGTAGCTATTCTCAGTGCACATAATCGGCCATTCCCAGGGATTAATTTCCACGAATCGTCTGTGAACCAATGTGCTGTTCTCCGATGGAACTTGAATCGATTGACAACGCCGCCCCTGTTAACGGAATTGAGTGATGGTTCCGTGGTTGTATTACGCTCGATTCGCCATGAGCATGCAACTTAGAGAGATTTGTTGCTGGGGGAACGTCCAGTACCGTTTTTATCATGAAAAGCCGAAGTCGAAATCGATCAGAGCTATCGAAAACGAAAATCTAGGCAACAATTATGACAAACAGAAAGCTGCAGTAAACATAAACAACAACGGTGCAACGTCATTGAGTGTATGCGTTAAAGTTACACTGTTATTTTTTTTTTACTTTGAAGCTTTCCGCTTGACAGTTAATATAATTAATATTTATACTAAAAATTATAATAACTACCAATTTGAGCAATTTTTACATCAAATATTACTTCAGATCTAGTTGTACTTCCCCTAGGTAAAGTGTCATATTTGACTTAAAATTCACCAAATGGAACACAGCCAAAATGACCAAAAAATGCATAACACGTCGAGATCTCGCATTTTTTTTGTCAAAAATTACTTTCTGGGACTAAACATTTTTTTTGTAGTGGGAGGCTAGGTATGGAACATTTAAGAATATGGTCCTAAAACTTTTCACAACTATTTCCAAACTACTTGTATATTATTTTAAATCACCTCGAGCATCTAATACGTGATACTTCAATATGGTGGTTCACATTTTTTTCATTAGAATGTTCTTGTTAAAATGTGAAGGTTCAAAATACACGCATAAATCATAAGTTTAAACTGAATGCATCTCCAGAAAGTGAAATATGCACCGTCCATGAGTGTGGTGCCTTGTCCAGACTGCAGAGCTATAACATGTTATAATAATTATCGCCAAGAAAAAGCTCATCAAGATAGGTTTATAACATGTTTTAACTCCCCAGGCTGGCCAGTGTTTAACACTGATGCGTTATGGACATCCAGTTCAAGAATACGCTTTGAAATACTTCCATAGGGCGTTTTTATTTTTAATTGGGTAGTTACTTGTAATAAGTACAAGCAAAAATCGTGCAAATATTTTTGTTTTTAGCAATATTAATGCACAGCTACTATTTGCACATAGCATATAATCATCACTTGGCATTCAACACGTCATGTTTTTTTTACTAGGGCTGTAGAAATAACTGTCATAATATTAACTTTCAGTAC